AAGCCCGGCGGGGGACAAGCCTCCCCCCGATGGTGGGGGGGAGGATGAGGATGGAGGGGGCTGATGCACACCATGGTTTTGGGGGGTGAGGGGGGGGTCCGTGCGGGGCAGGGTGCTGCTGCGCTGACCCCGTCTGCCTGCAGGATCGTGGAGAGGGGTTTCTACAGCGAGCGGGACGCGGCCCACGTCGTCAAGCAGATCCTGGAAGCCGTTTCGGTAACGTTCCCCCCCGGCGTGTCCCCCTCCGCTGCCCCGGGGACGGCCCGGCGAGACATCCCTGTGGGGTTCAGGGGTGCTGCTGCGGGGGCTGCACCCTCCCAGATCCCCCTGGGGAGAGGCGTTCGCCCACTCGCCCCGGCCATCCGAAGGCGTTGCTGGCAGAGGCGCCTCTTCAGATCCACGTTTCGGGGGGGGATGAAGGTAGAGGAGGGAGGAAGGTCAGCACAGCTTGCATCACAGGTCGGCTGGAGATGGGGTTTCTATGGCAACAGAAGGGTTTAAAAATGGAAATTCAGAATGGGAAATGTCCTTCCCATGTCCTGGCAGCCCCAGCACTGCAGGTGTTGGGTGTTTCTGAAGAAATAGCTGGGTGAGTTGGTCCCTTGTGCGTGCTGGGTCCCAGATCGCTGCCGCCTCCTCCCGCACTCTGTCCGGGGCAGCCGGGGCTCCCCTGCCCCCTCCTTCCCCCACCCCTGCTTTCTCTCTCTCCGTAGTATTTGCACGAAAATGGAGTCGTCCACCGCGACCTGAAGCCGGAGAACCTGCTCTACGCAGACCTGTCCCCCGACGCTCCCCTTAAAATCGGTGGGTTTGGCAGGGCCCCCTGGGGGGGGGTTGTGGCATGAGGGGGGTTAATGGCACCTCTGCCTGATGGCAGCACCGCTCCCCTCTATGTCCCTCCAAGGTGACTTTGGGCTCTCCAAGATCGTGGATGAACAGGACACCATGAAAACCGTCTGCGGGACGCCAGGGTATTGTGGTGAGCAGGAAGGAAAAGCTGGGGGGTGGGAGGGAGACCCGGGGAGGGTGCTCCCCGCCCGAGGCCATGCACAACTCAGTGCAGGGATGGCAGACGGTCACACCGTGCTCAGGAGACGCTGCTGGTACCCAGGCGGTGCTTCCTCCGCCGTGAGGTTCCCAGCGTGGCCGTGCTGCCGGGAGCTCCCCACATCCGTGCATTTGAACCTCGAATTCTGCTTCCAGCCCCCGAAATCCTCCATGGGTGCCCATACGGCCCTGAAGTGGATATGTGGTCCGTGGGTGTCATCACCTACATCCTGTGAGTAACGCTGCCGGGGCTCCACGAGCGGTGAAACCGCGGCAGCGAGACGGTTTGCTCCACCTCAGCCCACCGTGAGCAGCTGGCAAACACCGGCACGGCTGCGCGGCGGGGCCCGGGCGGCAGCACGTAGCTCCTCTCCCCCGTGCTCGCAGGCTCTGTGGCTTCGAGCCTTTCTTTGACCCACGAGGGGACCAGTACATGTACAGCCGCATCCTCACCTGCGACTACGAGTTCGTCTCCCCGTGGTGGGATGAGGTTTCCCTCAACGCCAAGGACTTGGTGAGCGCCGGGGCTCGGGGCTGCCGAGCCTGAAGCCTTCAGGTCAATGCTTGTAAAGATAACAAAGCCAGGGGCATTTAACAAATGAAGCCTTTTTGTGTGTCTGAAATTGGTTCCAGGTCAAAAAATTGATTGTCCTGGACCCCCAGAAGAGACTGACCGTCTACCAGGCTCTGGAGCATCCCTGGGTCACCGGGAAAGCCGCTAAATTTGCTCACATGGACAGCACGCAGAAGAAACTGCAGGAATTTAACGCCAGGCGGAAACTGAAGGTAAGGTGAAAGAGCCCCGCGAAGCTCCGGGGGCAGCTTGTGTCCTCGTCCCCTTGTGCACGCGGCTGGGGCCACCCAGAGCCGCTGTTGCTGGGTTTTAAGGATCCCTTGCCCTGAGCAGATAAATGTTCAGCGACACATGGCAGCTTTGGGGGCTGGCTCGGGGAGGGGGGCGAAGGATGGTGGAGCAGCTCCTTGTGCAGTTGCATCCCTGCGGAGCAGTGGCTGGGCTGCCCGTGGAGGCAGCAGCTGCTGGGGAAAGCCTTGCCCAGGGCGAAGGGCTGCGGGGTGGCTGAAGGAGCAGGCACGAGTGTCCCTTCTGCACGCCCCGGGGGCTGGAGCGGCATCGAAGGGGAGAAACGCATGCTAATAACTGCTCGCGCCGCTGTGCCTTTACAACAGGCTGCCATGAAAGCCGTGGTGGCTTCCAGCCGCTTGGGCAACCACGGGCACCACGACTGCTCCCGCAGCGGGCGCAGCCAGGGGGGTCCCCGGGGCGCCTGCCTGCCCCAGGGGCCAGGGACCACCAGCCCCGAAGCCACCGCCACCGAGGACCTCGACGCTTTCCGAAGAGACCGCCCCACCATGTCCAAGGTTCCCATGAATGGCGCCGGCTGCAAGAGCTAACACGCTCGGCTCCGCTGCCGGCTCGCCACGGCTTCAACAAGCAATATCCCACCGGCCCCTGGACGCTGGCACGGGGAGAGCCGGGGGGAGCAGGAGCGCCCCGAGCGTAGGCACGCGTCGGGAGGCCGTGGTCTGTCGTGTGGAGCATCCCTGTTTCGTGTCCTGTTGCCAGTGCAGTCGTACCTGGTCGCTGTGAGTGTGTGTCTGTACGGACCCGACTGAGGAAGCAAGGCTGGTGACTCGGTCTGCCGACAAATCAACAGTTTTGGCCGCTGTGGCTTGAAAAGATCCCATGTGGCTTAAAAACGAAGAGTGAACAGCAGAAAAAGGATTTCTTTCCCCTTCCCTAGAAGGGCAGTAAGTTGTCTTTACGACAGAGTTTTATAAGTCCCTGTACATAGTCCGGCAGGGTGTATTTGCTTAGGGGAGAGGGTGCGCCTGGATTATCGCTGACCATCGCCCCTGCACCCACAGCCGCTGGTGGAGGCCCGGCTGCGGGCTTACTGCGGTATTAGACAAGGTTTGTAGGAGCCTTGAGCCCAGCTGGGCGATCCTGCCCCGAGGAAAAGTGTTTGCCAGTGGTTCCTTTGTTATCTCCAGGCCGTAGATGACCTCTGCTTGATTTGTGCTTTCGTTCCACGCCAGTTGCATCCCCTCCCGCGTTGTCTTGCTGTGGCTACGCGATGGTGGTAGGATGGTCACGAAGCGGGCACGCCGGCTCGGTTGGCTTCCGCGCTGGCCTTCCAGGTCACCACGCACATGATGAGTTCTAACGACGAACAACACAACTCTTCCTACAGCGCGTTGTGAGACTTTGTCACACGTAATGGTGCTGCTGTTTCCTGAGCGGGGACAATGAGTTTCTACGTCTTTTGTTTGGGGTTTTTTTTTTTAAGACGAATGAAATCAGTTGACAAATTTCTCACAAAGGAATTTTTTAGGCAGTTATTTACCAAGCCACAGGATAAGCATTTGCAGATTTTAATACCGAACAAGTCACCAGAGAGGAAAAGCCATATTACGCAGGGGGGATTACGGGAATCTGCTCCGCAGTCCCAGCTGGTGCGATCCCGAGGCAATGACCGTGACCTGCGCCCCCCACGGTTTGGGCCGTATGCTTCTAACAATGTGTTTGGGCAAAAATGTGTTGGGGAAAACCCCCTAAATCTCAACTGGAGAAGAATGAAATTTGTACCATGAAGTTGATTTTTCCAGGATGGGGACGCACAGCCCAGCAGCTGATAAAGGAGGGGCTGCAAACAAAAATTACAATTTTGCCGAAGCTGAAAGGCGCCGTTACATACACAGGGCTCGGTGCAGAGGGGGGCTCAGCGCGGCAGAGCTGCCACGGGAGTGGCAGGACGGCAAACATAGCACAGCAACTCGCAGCTTTATTTACAGCCTAAGCCCACGCGTAAGGGCTGATCCACACCACACGAAGCTCACTTACGTTTAGGTGCTGGTAAAGCCACGTGCAGAGGAGCTGATCGGATGTTCAAGAGGGTTTTTTAATTGGAAAAATATTAGGTCTCGACCAGAAATGCGCTCTTTATTTCTTGTTTTTTTTTTTTAACTAACGGTCACACCTTCAACGGGGAAGCGGCTGAACGGCAAGATTTCGCTTTGGGGAAAGCAAATGCCGGTACCATGGCCGAATGCTTTGGCAAGGGAAAAATCCTTGTGCTTTGCATTTTGCAGGCCGGGCCATCATTTTCTCTCCTTTTTTCAAGACAGAGGGCTGAGCCTTGCAGTGTGCTGAAGGCTGGGCTTTACCCTGTGCTTAGGGTGACACCCTCTGTCCTTCAACCCCATTTACTCCATGGGGGCCAGAACTCCAACTTTAACCATGGCGTTTACTCACCCGGCTCCTAAAAGACAATTTTATATCCTTTAACGTGAACTACACCTCGCAGGACCAGGCCAGCGTGCTCAGCACACCCAGAGCCTGTGGAACGGAGCTCAGTGCTGGGAAACGCTGAGTGACATCACCCTGCCCGCAGCCCACGCCTCACCCCGCAGAGTAATGGGAAATGAGGGATCCATTAGGTAACAGCGAGTGACGATGCGTCTTCAGTGACGGAAGGCACCCGGGGGAAAACTGGAAGCAAAAACCAGGGGTTAGCCTCTTATGTCAACAAAAGTATTATTCCATAAATATCAGTACTTAAAAGGTAGAAAAAAAAATGTATTCCTGGGAGCCCGGCTGCTGGGAGCTGCCATTTTGGTCCATGTACCGTTTTCGGAATGTGTTTTAATAACTTACTACTTCAGTGTAGCGGTGGCATTTCCAATCTGCAGGTATTTATAAAGAAGTGTAGATGGCGAATAAAGCATCAGCCATGACAATGCGGGTCCCTTCTTACTGTTACCGAATACAAGGGCTGGAAGTTGACAGAGCCAAACAGCAGCTCCCTGAAGGGCTTTTTTTTTTTTCTGATTTTTTTAACCCATTTTCATATGACAGTTTGTTTTCTGGACAACCAAAGGCTGCGTGTCGCTGTCACTCTCCCTAGGGCTGCGGCGATTTGTCCAAGTGCTGCCGGGCTGCCAGCCATCTCCCGCCTGTCTTCATAGAATCATCAAATGTTTTGGGTTGGAATGGACCCCCAGAGGTCACCCAGCCCAACCCCCCTGCAGGAGCAGGGACACCTTGAACCACAGCAGGTTGCTCACAGCCCCGTCCAACCTGGCCTGGAATGGTCCCAGGGATGGGGCCTCCACCCCCTCTCTGGGCAACCCCTGCCAGGGTTTCACCACCCTCATTG